ACAACGCACTGGATAGCTGGCCAATCAGAGCACACCTCTCTTTTCAGACCGATGAGCTTTGTAAAAATCTACGCGCTTCAGAAAGGCGGGGCATAGAGGAGAAACAATAATGTACAGTATGTGGAAAATAATGTGTTTTTTTAACCTTAAACCGCATAAACACATTTCATTACACCAAATACACAAAATAATGTTCTTTTTAGCAGCATCATATGACCCCTTTAAAAAAATAAATACACTGCAGCAAAAGTGAACTTAGATGTAAAGTTAAAGATGATATGATGGGTATCAGATTATGGATCAGTTGATATAATTGATGGAAGACATAAACATTTCATTGGCTTGCTTGCGTTGAATTGTGTGACTGTGACTTACTGGAAGACGTTGGGCCCGAACACTGTGGCCAGGTTGGTGGCGGTCATGCGGTTATGAGCCTGTTCCTGTTCCACCTGGGACAGGAAGTGACATAAGTAATGCAGGAGACTGTAGTGGATATCTGGCAGCTGGAGTAGGAGCTTACGCAGGTCCTTACAGAAATCACCCTCACTGGATTCTGACAGAACAACATAGAAATACAGTAAATGACTTAATATGTCAAATAGGAAGATATTAATATAATTAAAATACAAAAGAAATGTGTCCAGTAAAGCAGTAAAGTTAGAATCTTCTGAACAAAGAAGAAACTGTCAAAGAAACTGAAAATATGTGACACAAATTCCAATACATATGAATTGTATAATTAAATAATAAAAAAAAAAAGATCAATCATTAATATTTACAGTAATAATAATAATAATACATTTTAATTAATAATATTGTTATTATATATTTTCTATTTTGGCTTGTTGTCACATAAAACAGTTATGTCACACTAACTACATCATTTGCTAAACTATAATAAATACTTTGTAGTAATAAAAATTTTATTAGTAATAATTTAAAAAAAAAATTATTAATCAATTTACATGATTAAAAATAATAAATATTTTCATAATAATTGTAATTTTTAAGTTTTTGTAATATATTTTCTATTTTAGCTAGTTGTCACATTGAAACGGCTACAAAACAGTAACAGTTACTGGGGAAAACTCAGAAAACAGGAAGTGGCAACAAGGAAGTATCGAAGTGGTGATATATATATATAATATACACACACACATTTGATCAACACAATCTAAATTTATTAAAATGTTAAATAAAAAATATTCATATTAAATATTCAAAAAGTCTTTTTTTTTCAATTTCAATAACAACAAAAATTTTAAAATATTCATATTTTAATAAATTAATACTAATCACAATTGATCATTTTTTTCATGTTCTCAGTTTGAAATAAAATCCAAGAGTTCATCTTAAATTACTGTGCAACTCTACAGTATCTGCATGAACACAAAACCTTCCCAATACAAATATGTCTGTTTTAATCCTGTTTTCTGGCATCCGAGATGCACCATCTGCGCAGGATATAGTGTCTCGCACATGCCACAAAGAGAGGGAGACTGGGACACCAACTGAAATCTGCAGCGAACAATTCTGTCCAGAAACAGCTCACGTAATTCCTTCAGGAATTCTTTTTTGGGAAGCCTTAATATGAAACTGCAGTGTTTATTGGTGCACCGCTGATCTCTGACACCAAGACAACGTTAATCAAGCAAAGTCTCTTCTCTGCACATTGCAGAGGTCAGTGAAGTATGATACAGCTGCAAATTCAATATTGTTCTAATTTTAATGGACCCAATGGACGTGAGCCAGTAAAATAATGCCATTTATTAAAGCTCTATCTAATCTTTTACACCATTCAGAAGCCAAACTACCGCCAAGAGCTCTTCAGCCAGTGTGAAAACACAGAGCATGATTTAAAGCACTGACTGTATGATATAGACTACACTAAACTCTACTACAGAAGGCTGCTCTGCTCAGTCATTATCCTGACTATGACTCATGAGCTTAAGATAGAACCATTACCTTCACACAAATAATTTCAGTTGATCAATAGCTTAACAGGTTTGACTGGCACTAAACTGCTGACCTACTTTGCTATTATGAATTAAACACGTTATAATGTTAATGTAAATAAATATTGTTATATCATATTATATATATATATATATATATATATATATAATCTCCCTGGCTCATGTAATTCCTAACTGAATGTGACTAGACAAGAAACGTTTTCCACATATTAGGCATACAAATAAAAGTGCATGTGTGCATATTGTTAAATATTATTTGCAAATAGTTCAAAATGGTTACTTCCCAATTAGAATTAGATTTAGAATTTGAATTTGATTTTTCTTCCCATGTCCATGAAAAGTACAGTCTTTCAGTTGCCAGTTCAGATGTTTAAGCACTACTCCACACCACCCATGAATGAAGACTAAAAGCTTCTTCACCCTGGTACAGCTGAATGAGAGGATTGTGGATGGAGGGATGGATGAGAGCTTCAGGTAGATCCCTCAAGAACTGCTTCAGTAAACTGGCTACAGCAAAGGCGTCTGCATCCTGATGTAGATCAACCTCTTCTCCACCATCAAACCTCTGCCGCAAGTTATCCACGGTCCGAATGCTGCCGTTTACTCTGAACAGACCCTCCAGACGAAGACCTGACAGATTGTGGCACCATGAGAGAGACATAAAGCTCTGTAAGTGATTTTGTAGTTAAAACTAACAACATTTTAGGGGTTTCAACAGGTTAGTTAATAAACTAACTTATGCCACTCTTAGCTCGATTGCAGAACTACGTAATCTTTATAAATATGGGAAGATATTTGATCAATGTCATAAAATCTACAGAAAAGTCAAGTTCATGTAAAATGCTAGTGCTGACATGTCAAAGGCCCAGTGCAGTGCTTTTCTTCTCTGAAGGGTTATTGCACCATCCAGAGGAAAACAAGCACAACTGCAACTTCTGGGCTTCAGATTTATCAGAGTACAGTATGGAACAAATATGATAATAAACCATATGTTTAGTAAATTCTAGTCGTTATTAATGAAAGTTGATTTAATGGATACAATTCTAACACAAGTGATGTTTTTTGTTAATAGGAAGTGAGAAAATATTTATATTCAGTCTGTCATTATAATGTCCAGTCACTTACCCATTTGATTTTACTTTTAATGTTTTGCACAAATACAATTAGCAGTCATGCTGCTACTTGAATGCACGTGTTTCTTCATTTTTATTTAGTTGACCTTGATCCAGTACCCAGTTACCTTAATTGTAATAGTCACAGCTTGGACCTTGTTGGCTAAAGGCTTGGAGCCGTTCACTAAAGCAGTAAAAGCTGTGACTTTATGTTCTTAGACAACATGTACTATTGGCAGGTAAAAAAAAACAGATACCTTGCCAGTTCATTTACTTCAGCCAACATGGTCAGAGTGTGCTAACTGTGCCCACAGTATACTTGAAAAAGAGCACAAAAGAAAAAGAAAATGTGATTGCTTTAAAAAAAAGTTTGAATTTTGTGTATAGAAAATGCATGTATAAGAATAAAAAAAAAGATTAAAACATTTTTCTATTTTTTTTTTATTCTTATACATGCATTTTGTATGACTTCAGATCAACTCAGATAGCATGACTACAAAAAAATTATTATATTTGTACCTTTAAAAATGCATGTCATACCACAGGTTTACTGTGAATAAAGGTAAAAAAATAAAAAATAAAGGCAAGGTGATTAAAATGATAAAAAAAAAGTTGTTGTTTTTTTATTGACTAGTCACAGCACCTAAAATACAGATATGTAAATTATAGATTCATAAATGTAGTATAAATTTATATTAAAACTTATCCTTTAATGTAATATAAATTTTGATAATTAAAAAATGTATGTCTATAGTTGGTAAACAACCCATGTCATGTCAAAATAAAAATAGAAAATAATATAATATAATATAAAAGAAATCATAAAAGAAAGCAGTATTACAGTGTTTTTAACTTGTTGTAAACACAGTGTGTGTGTGTGTGTGTGTGTGTGTGTGTGTGTGTGTGTGTGTGTGTATAAAGTTTAAGAGAAAAAAATATATTATATTATATTATATTATATTCAAGTTCAAGAGGGCAAAACAATTATACACAGTGTGTGTGTGTGTGTGTGTGTGTGTGTGTGTGTGTGTGTGTGTGTATAAAGTTTAAGAGAAAAAAATATATTATATTATATTATATTATATTCAAGTTCAAGAGGGCAAAACAAAGTATTCTGCTTTTTGTTACTATAGCACTTGCCGCATCGCTGAAAACAATCATAAATTGCCCAGTAACTCTTAGGCCTGTATCAGACACCTGATGATTTCTTCTTTGTGAAAACGCAGTAGGCCAGGATATGACGTGCTATTAGTTGCTTAAAGCATTATAATGGTTCACCAATGAAATATTGGGTTACTTTTAATTGTTTATCATTGTCCCCAGATCAGATTTCTTCACACCAACCGTGATCAGGTCTAACACTTGAGCTGAAAGCAACACTTACTATGCTTTTCCAGATACTCCACCATACTCCGGACAACCACAGGAACCCCGTCCTTGACAAGTCCCAGATCTCTCAACTCCAGCAGGGACACGCCGAAGATCTTCTTCCCCCCTGTGACGGTGGCCGGAGAGGGTTTGTTCATGGGCAGCTGCGCCATCCACTTCATGTCCTCCTTGATCTGGACCGCTGCCTTGCTGTGCTTGGAAAAGCAAAAGAGAAAGGAGCAGTCAACCACATCCACCGTTCTGACCGTCTGCATCATAAAGACCCCTAGTCCATATATCAGCCTTTATATCGGAGACTTTTCCCACTGCCGGTGTAGGTGGATCTGTCAGTGGCAGGAAACAGGAAGGAGGGAGTCTAGCGTCTGAGTGTGTGTCTACGTCAGGAGAGGTTGCCATGCTCCTGTAACCAGGTGAGAGGAAACACACAGACGCAAGCCGACAGTATATCAAACTCAGCTGTGACTAGAGAACAGCGTTTGTTACCGTCTAGAGAGGAGGAAAGTTTGAATGTTATGCATTCAGGAAGCTATACTGATATGGTGAACAAATGTTTACAATATGATAATATTTTCTAATATATTGTAATAACTACAATAAATTGAAGTGAAACTTTGAACAGGTTTATTAGGTATCACACCTGCAGTACACGCCAGTGTTATTTTAGTTTCATTAATATACTATTATCATTGTTTGTTAATATTTGAATTCAATTAGATTTTTTTATGTTTTGTTTTTATTTTAATTGTAGTTAAAGTTTTATTTTTTGTGTGATTTTTTTTCATAATAATAATTATATATATATATATATATACATACTCCTTTATTAAATCAAACTATTTGTTAATATATATATTCAGAAACAAAAAAAACAATTTTTCAAACTAATTTCAGTTACTGTTTAACTGTTAGATTAATAGTTTACATTATTTATTGATAGTTTAAAAGACATTTACATATATTAATGGTTTACAAATGGTTTACATTGATAAGTAATATGGTGGCCAGTAGCAAGTTTTAATTTAGTAGAGAGTATGTTTACATAATATTTTACATCCCTACTGAGAAAAAAACTTTACTCAACTTAAACTAGACTTAGACAGGAGACCTAGATCAGCTTAAATTAGCTAAGACCAGCAAACCATTTTAGGCTGGTTTGAGATTTTTAAAATGCAAGAATGAAGTATTCAGTTGCATCATGGAAGAGAATTGATGCGGACACTAATTTAACAAAAAGCTTTTTTTTTTCCATTGAAGATCTTAAAGCATCGTCCATCAAAATGAATTTTTTGTGTTGTCACAAACACATACAATGCATCCTTCCAAATGAAGGAAAGAACACAAGAATGGTTTGTATTCAGATGCTGTTAGCAGTCCTTCAATAAATGAGAAGGTTGCCTCCTCATTCTGTTCTCTACAGTCTATTATGTGAGCATCTTCTAATTGGGTGTTCTGGACGAAATGTCCTCTTGTTCTCCGCGTGTGACCCAGGCTGCATTGTAAACACACGTTTATCTTATAGCCTACTCAAATACATAATCAGCTCAAATACCATAGGAGTACCATACAGTGTAAGTGCGTTTATCTTTTGAAAGCAGGCATGACAGCATAATTTGAGATTAATCAGAGGCAATTTGCATATTTTAAATTGTAATTTCTTCCTGTCTACTAGTAATAATAATAACAGCTAATTATGCTTGCGTTCTCTAGTATTTTGTTCCTTAAGATGACATTAAGAACATAAGCCTGTCTGAGCTACTCATGAGAGACCAACAGGAACAGATGTCCATGAAATCACCCCAACCCCACGCACAAGTCCTCACAACACTTCTGAAGAGCCACACGTTAACATACAGTCATGCTATTCACAGTCAACGAGAGTAATAAAGTTTGCACTGCAAGTTTCCATTACAGGTTCAGACAAAGTCCTAATTGCTTAATGACCTTCTTTTGGGAAGTCAATGGATCTTCAAACCCTCCCCCATAGTCTGAAAAATACACCTCAGTGAACTCTCATATCACATGAGATCCTTTATTATTTCTAACTGAAGAGTTTAGACTAGCTCAAAAACTAAACTAAAATACCCACTGTTCAGAAGATTGGGGTAAGTAATTTTTGGGGGGGAATTAATACATTTATCCAGCAAGGATGATTGACCAAAAGTGACAGTAAAGACATTTATAATGTTACAAATTTTAAATAAATGCTGTTCTTTTGAATTTTCTATTCATCAAAGAACCCTGAAAAAATGTATCAACATTGATATTAATAAGAAATGTTTCTTGAGCAGCAAATCAGCATATTAGAATGATTTCTGAAGGATCACGTGACACTGAAGACTGGAGTAATGATGCTGAAAATTCAGCTTCGCATCAAAGGAATAAATTACATTTTATAATAGATTCAAATAGAAAAATGTTATTTAAAATTTAAACAATATTTCACAATATTAGTGTTTTTACTGTTTTTTGATCAAATAAATGCAGCCTTGATGAGCATTAGATACCTTGAAACATTAAAAAAAAAACTAACAACCCCAAAATTGTTAATTTTGCAGCAAATGTTGGGATTTTTAATGTAGATCTTTGTTCTGTTAAAAGTGCAGGGTTCAATTTCACAAACTCCGTCTCTGTTCGGTGAGAAACGAGTCTCGGCATGTTCATTCATATCTCACGCTTGCGTGCAGACATGCTGTGTGTGACTCCTGACAGCAACTGGTTGTACCAGTGCATTCTAGCAACAGCTGCAGATCCTTTCTGCTATTATAAGATAGAAACAAGCACATAGTTTACAACACTAACATTGTCTGAAAAATGTGCAAAAATTGTACCTTTAGGGGCAGAACAGCTTGTAATTGGGGTAGTTCTAATTAGGGACAACTTTGTACCTTATTTACCCCTAAAAGGTACATATAAGTACCCTAGAGTAATATGTACACTTAAGATACTACTAGGATACCTTTAGGGGTAAATAAGGTACAAAGTTGTTCATTTGAGGTTACTGTTCTAATAAAAAGCTGTTTTACCCCTAAAGATACACATTCAGTGTACTGCACCAAAGCAATGTTAATTTATTTACAAAGTATCATTAAGTGAGGTTGACACGAGAGTGTCAGTTCCAGGTGGCCTACAAGAGACATTGTAAACAGATGGGAAGAAATGACCTCAGTCTAGCGGCTTTTACCCAGTTTTAAGTCCAGGATCACAGCCAGCACATTGCACATTGATGCATGCAGAAACTCGCTAGCTGAGTTCCCCTGCCTTATAAGGAGTTGACCAGAGTGATTTTTTTGTACTTACACAGATTGCTCCAGCCCCCATCTCCCTCTTCTTCCAGGAAGAGCCTGTAGAGTGATGAATTCCCCAAATTCCTTCTCCTTTCTTACAGTGGCCTCCTTAACATCCCATAAGAAAGTCGCCGGATCATAATGAGTAGTTTAGTCCATCTTTGGATAGGCTAAACGTGTCCGAAAACTTAAGAGGCTAAGCAGAGGAGTCAGCCTCCCTTTCCTAAAGCTCTGGAGCTTAGTGACTCCTCACCAAATGAAATCTGACCCCTGCACTCCAATTGGCTGGTGTTGTGAGTCACATGACCAGCTGGCCCAAACCTTTGAAAGTCTCTCCACATGGGGCAAATGAGAGGAAGCTGCATCAATTACCAATTCACAACTTTTCAGGATTGCTGTAAGGGGTCTTTGTTTGTCTTCATACATTTTAAAGAATCAACTTGATGATGTAGAAAATTAAACTTTTCTGTTTTTCTTTGCATGTTTTTATGCTTTGATATTGCAGAATCTCCTTTCCAACTTAAGTGAGAACAAAGACCAACTTAAACTGCATGTAAATTTGTATGCACAAGCTTTTGTTCTGAATTTAAAACAAAGTCTTTGTGCACAACAAATACAAAGAGTGCTAGTTCTCAAAAGCTTTACTAATGGACGTGTAGGGCTTTTGCAGTGGCCAAAAAATGTTTAACAAATTGAAACTTGCATTAATAAATATATCAAAGGATTCCACATTCTGGAATCCAGTTTAGAACCTTGTTTATTCTCTTAAGCAACTTCATGAGGTGCTTTCACTAACCAGTCTAATTCTCATCTATTTCAGACGTTTTTATTTCAGAGGTTTTGTAAATAAATTCATATTCATTAATATGAAATGATAATTTCAATAACTTAGGCATATGCCTTTAGATTCAAATATTTTAAAACAAATTCAGTCCAACTGGCTGATCTTGCCAAGATTTAATTTTCACCACATTCACGGTTTATTCAAAAATCAAGAAGTACAAATTTTCCTCATATTATTCTCACAACTTTAAAATGTGGCCTGGATTTCATTATTACAGAGGATTCTGAAATCCTAACAACAAGTTATGTCCATAAAATATATTTCATAAATTAATTAGATTTAGCAGTTACTTTACATGGCATCCACTATAGTATATTCAAATATATAAACAATAACCTTGACTATGGGTGCATTTGTTTACTCTAAAGTTATTTTTTGTCATTTTTCTCTCCTATTATAATTTCTTACTTGGTGTTGTCTTCTGTCCACTCACTGAAACCAGATATACGGGTGAAACAAGTGGACTTCTCATCTCATGGGACCAAAACTCACTACACCATGAACCGCCCATGATGCTTCACTTCCTGACATCTTACACCCAAGCAGACCACCAGAGTCAGCCTAATGAACACTGAGGGGCTGAAAGAAGAGATTGTTTAGAGTGTGAAACAAGGAGCAGGAGGCACTAGAAGGAAGTAAGTGCGATATCAGAATTTAAATGACATTTCCAGTCAGATAAGCATTTGAAGGGCATTTCAAATAGCTGGGTCATACAATAGTTCGATTCTTCATTGTTTTCATGCATGTGCTCAACCGTCAAGTTGTCCAAGTACTGCCTGAAATTTCAGAAGGGTTTTCTTTAAGGGCACAGTATGGCCTTACATTCTCATCTAAATCACCTTTGCAATAAATGCACCATTAATATCCTCTGATACTCACTAATCATTGAATAGCAACTGGAACAAATGACAACAAATGCTTACTAAATCAGTCAACTCAGATGAACAAGTCTTTGTTCCTCTGACCTCTCTCACCGCTCATCCTGTTATGTAACACATCTCCAGCAGGCATGACGGACAAGGGTTCGGGTAGGAAAACCCGGCTGATCTCAGGTGTTATGGTAACCACTTTGGCCAATATTGTTTGATAGATAGTGTGTTGCTGTGGTGTGCTGAGTGGTTATTAGCTCATTGCTATATGGTTTATATGGTGTTATATGAAATTTCAAGGGTGTTACAGTTGCTAGCATTGACATTGACACATAGGGTGTCTTAAAGAGTTTGTCAGTGTGTTGCTATGCAGCTGCTACAGTGTTCTGGGTGGTTGTTAGCTCATTGCTATGCAGTTGATATGGCGTTCTAAGAAGTTTTGATGGTGTTGGTATGCGGTTGCTATGGTGTTCTGAGTGGTTGTTTGCTCATTGATATGCAGTTAATATGGTGTTCTATGAAGTTTCGAGGGTGTTGCTATGTAGTTGCTATGGCATTCTTAGTAGTTGAAAGGTTGTTTTAGGAGGTTCCCAGTGTGTTGCTATGTGGTTGCTATGGTGTTCTAAATGGTTGACTTTATAAAAACCACTCATCTAGAAGGTTGCCAGCATGTTGCTATCCAGTTGCTATGGTGTTCTGACTGGTTGTTAGATCATTGCTATGCGGTTGCTGCAGTGTTCTGATTGGTTGACAGATAGGGAGTATTAAGATTTTGCCAGCGTGTTGCTATGCGGTTGCTACAGTGTTCTGAGTGATTGTTCCAGGGTGTTAATATGCATTTGCTATAGTGTTCTGAGCAGTTGTTAGTTCATTGTTATGCAGTTGATATGGTGTTCTTACAGGTTTCCAGGGTGTTGCTATGCAGTTGTTACAGTGCTCTGTGTGATTGTTAGCTCATTGTTTTGTGTTTGCTGCAGTGTTCTGAGTGGTGTTTTGAAGTTTCAAGGGTCTTACTATGGGTTGCTATAGTGTTCTGACCGTTTGTTAGCTTATTGCTATTTAGTTGATATGGTGTTTTGAGTGGTTGATAGATAGGGAGTTCTAAGAAGTTTACAGCTACATTGTTGCTGTGGCATTTTGATTGGTGGTTACCTCAATGCTTTGCGGTTGATATGGTGTTCTAAGATGTTTTGAAGGGTGTTGCTATGCAGTTGCTATGGTGTTCTGAGTAGTTAGGGTGTTCAAGACGGTTGCCAGCATGTTGCTATGGTGTTTTGAGTGTTCCAAGTTGTTAGTTAGCTGCTATGCATTTAATAGGGTTTTCTAGTAGGTTTATCTGGTGTTGCTATATAGTGATCTGGTGTTAGGGGTTGTTCAAATGAAACGAAAGTTTGATAAATAGCAGCTGCATTTCTTGCCTTAACCAGCACCACTGACTATAACCCAAATACTTAAAATATATCTAAAGGCAACAATATTCATTTAGAGGGTGAAGAAATTTTGTGTTTTTTCGACTCAACCTCTATGTCAGCAGGATCCACTGCTTTCCAATTGGCACTGAACCCTGTGTCCACAATTTTGTCATTGGAGGAGAAACTGACAGTCTTTGTGTCTCCAGCCATGACTAGATCTCATACCAGGGGTCCACCTGAGTCACCCTATTACATTAAATGAATGCTATGAGCAACAAAAATTTTTGTACAGTAGATTGTTGTTGGTTGGTTTGTTGTTTGCTTTGTTTTAACTCTTTCCTCGCCATTGACGGAATTTTCCTTCTTTCCTTGTTTTCACTGTTACATGGTGGGAGACGGTATTACACATCTTCTGAAAGAGTATTGAATCCCTGGATCAAAACATGTCGAAGAAGAGGCAAAAACAAGCGATCGCATGTGTAAGCAGATGCATATGTAAAATAATGCGATCATCAAACATTAAACAACATACCAACCAAAACTGCTTAACGTTACCGAATGAAATTCGGTCAACCCAGGAAGTGGCATAGGACTGTGCAAGCTTTGGGGGTGTTGATGGAAGTGATCTACTCCATCTATGTTTTGATCATCATTCTGAATCCGATACTAACCCTAACCTGGTGGGGAAAGAGTTAATTGGGATGTATTTAGACATGGAGTAAGACTTTACTGTTTACTGTACTTTATCTCAGAATCGCTCCATACCTGGCATACAGACTTGAGCTCATCAGGTAAAGTGTAGCCACAGCAGATCATGGAGGTCTTGACCTGGAACCACCAATAGTCCGTTCGTTTACAGGTATCATACGGCACTACAGGCAGGGCCACCTGGTCCAATGCATCAGCGACTTTGGGAGCAGTGGAGTTACCTGTGGGCAAGATGAATTCATGTATTAGCAGTTATTTTGCTTATTGTCTCTCAGAGGTAAAGATTGCTGAAAGGTAAATACGGATTCTAATCTAACCTAGAATGATTGTATTATCATAACTGCACAGCAGAGGGCGCAATCGCTCCAGAGTCTTTTGGGACTATCGGGACTAATCAAAATACTAATAAATTGTATAATAGTATATAAATAATCCAAAATACGCTTGATTTCAGATTTATTTCAAACAAAAACAATTTTTATACTTTTAGGTGTATTTAACTAACAATTATATAACTATTATTCTTTTTATTATTATTATCCTCTAAAAACATTTTTAAAAATTATTTATTATTAAGACTTTATAATAGACAGCTACTTTTAATGACCTTTTTTTTGTGTATTTATGACATCTATCAACTGCTGAGCTGATACAATCTAGCTTCTGGAAATACCAGCCTTTGACCTCCTGACATCAACTACCCATAAAGAGGAAGTCCTCCCCAAAAATTACATGACAGAAAGCACCTCTATGTTTTTTGATTGGCTAACAAGTTCTCTCAGATTCTTTCATCTAAATAGATATGTACAGCATACTTACAGCAGTTTTGCAAAACCACCACAAAACTTTATCAGGTCTATCAGTATTATTCAGTGGCTGGACAACACAGAACCGTAACCTAACCTGTTTCATCTCCCCAACCGGTGGCATAGCATTTTTTCCCTCCGGGCAGAACCTCCTCAAATGAAGGCAGGCAGGCGAAATCAATGTAGTCGTTGGGCGTCACCTCTCCATCCAGTCGCACCAGGGCGATGTTGAACTCCACAGATGGCACAGTTGGGTACTGGAAGCCCTCATTATGATAGATGCCAAGCATGTTAAAGCACTGTTCAGTCGACTCAGAGAAGGTCAGGTTGTGTTTCCCCAGACACATCTTCCAGCGATGCAGCTCATAGGCATACCTGATAAAAGTTCACACACACACACACACACACACACACACACACACACACACACACACACACAAAAACACGTACATCAGGCTAGTTACTACCACAAAAACCCTGACAGGATGATCAAGACCCAGAGACAAATCATCAGCTAAAAAGGTATATATATATATATGTGTGTGTGTGTGTGTGTGTGTGTGTGTGTGTGTATATTATATATTG